TGTTTAAAATGAACATTAATTCATATAATGAGCATTTAAAATGATCAACCAATTAAGTATATTTTTTATGTAAAATAATTTAAAACTAAATTTAAGGCCATCAGCACTCTCCGATCCTTGTTTGTATAAGGTAAACGAAGGGTTTAACCCACTTGGAGTTGCCCAATCTTTTTCACCTTGACACCGAATTGGGGTTCGTAGTGGCGATAATTGCGGCTAACAATATGTTTAAAAGTTAATATATTGGATTTAATTATTAAGTTGTATCAAGTAATGACGATACGCTTCTTCAAATTAGCCACGAAAAAAAACATACTTGTTCTGTCCTACTTTGTAACGTGGTGGAACATAAGAGTTGTATGAATTCTATAAAACATTGTGATTATATATAGCGTAATGCTAACGTAATGTTCTTTATACACTGCTGTCCGTTTCAGCTTCTTAACTCGTAGAGTAGTAGGACTATTCACCAGATTTTTTTTTATATAATTAATTATGAGCATCCACGAACTGCAAAAAATGCAGTTGATTTCTATTTCAGTGGATGTTTTTTTTTTCTTGTAAGTTGCTAGAGCATTTTTAGAATGTGCACATTTGCAAAACTAATCTTAGTTACGAGAGAACTTATATAAAAAATGTTTACGATTCAACTTGATTATTGCTGATTCTAGCTTGAAGTAAGTCATGGTATGTTTGTTGCATGTGAACATAATTGAATAATTTACTTAAATGTTTTAATCAATCGGTGTCAAAATTAATACATACCGGAGAAGCGATAAAAAATGTGTTGGGCGTGAAGATTAATTAATGTAGCATTCAGGCCGTTTCACATCACATTACATCAACAGCCTTTAATAGTCCACTGCTGGAGATAGACCTCTCCTTAGAAAGGTTTAGTGTTTTTTAATTGGAATGTCATTTTGAAATCATTCTCTTAACGTCTCTTTGATATTGTTTGTGGAAATGTCATTTATTATATAAAATTTGAACCTTACCTGTCGTTTGAAAGGGTTATTTAATGACGGCAATAGTGCAGGTTGTTAGAAGCCTATATTCATTATTGGGTCACCTTAAGGCTGATATTTTTTCTTTAAATTTAAATGGGACCAATAAACCATTAACAGAATTGCATATCATCATAATTTGAACAGATTATGAGAAATAATTACTAAGACATTTGACTTTTATTAAAAATAATCTAAGTATTAAACGCTCGCTAATTTGGCAGCGGAAATACGAAATATCTAAACGAAAGTCTCGGAATAGAATTTTTAAGTTCAAAGAAGTTGCCTGAACTCGGAAACAAAAATTGTTTGTTGTTGTAATAATGGTTATATTACAAATAGCAATAGGAGCACAATCTCGTAGTAACAACAAGATTGGCTTTTCTAAACTTGGCTATTTATAAATTGACTCCTTACATTGTTTCGATTGCATCGTAAACTTGTCCTGTGTACAAAGCGAATACAACATTGTTGCTCAACCTTTTTACTTTGTTGCTTAGACCCCCTTTTTTAATTGTGTTCAATTTTTTTTAAAGCTTACTGCAGTAATATTTCATTTCATTTTGCGAGCATGATAACTCTTTTAAAAAATATCCAGTCAGTATTGTAGGCGTGTGAACTTTTCGGAATAATATTTCCAAATAATTTTAGATTTCAAGTAAAAATTAAACTGACATGCTTATCTTTACAAACTTGGCCCATTTAAAGTAACTCCTACACAATTATCATGACGACCCCCATTTTCTAATGTACTATTAGGAATTGATATGCTAATTAACATAATAAATAACATCATTCTGTACCTTGAAAGATTTACGACGGTACGTTAGCGAAGAAAGTAAAATGGAACAATGGCATTCATTGTTCAACGCCTCCCAGATGTCTTGTATTGTTAACAATACGTAAGTGTAGTGAAAATCTGTCGTGATGAGGACGTTTTGGCTTGTCTATTGTTAAACATTGAGGAATAAAAATGGCTGTACACTTTTTCTTTCAAATAAAGTTTATATAGGTGATGTAAAATCCTGTTTCGATATAACACGGTCACTTATTATATTATTATTTTTGGACACGTTTACGTAAATAGTGTGAACACACATAAAAGTTAATTTCAATTTTTTTTTGATTAAATATAAATTTATTACATCAAAACTGAATTAACAAGATAGCTCCTAATACAGTCCTTTAAACTTAAAAGGGGTCTACGTCGGAGCGAGAGATAAGTTGCTGGAAAATCGTATAAATTTTTGTTTTGATAGTCTAAATGTTATCATATTTGTAAATAATCTTACGTTTTACTATTTTTATAACAGATGTCTAATTATTGACATTGTTGGAGCCATTGGAAAGAGTTCCATGAAAAATAAACTTTGACCATCTTTTCAAATTTCATCACTTTTTTTATAAATGTGACAAAATTTAAAGATATTAGGATAAAACATGATTTCACAAGTTCTTTAACTTGCAATGTTTACATATTATATTATGTTTGTTTGAGGCAAATCTTAAAAAGTAATATAAAAATTAACACTTGTTGCTAAACCAACTAACTTTTTACTTAATCTAACTGTCCGTGTGGTGACGGATTAAAAATACGGAGTGTCACTACCACTATTCATCCAATGGGTCTCGTAAGAGATGACTAAGGGACCAAACTACGCAGGACAACAGCACTGCAAAGGGCAGGAAAACTTGACACAAATCCTATACCAATCCGTCTGGCCAGCGTGGTATAGTAGGCCCAAACCTCATTTCTAAGGGGAGTTCTATGTCCAGCAGTGGATTATTAAGGTCTGATGATGATGAACTTAAGCTAACATTATATTTTATACTGTGGCAACTCCTACATACAATGAAGCAAAACATACTTCAGAGACATCTAAAGGAGATACACCGAACTACAGAGTAATTGCTAATCCTATATCGCGATATGAAACGTTCTTACGCCGATTACCATAGAGAATAGAATGTAATATATTTTATTGTACACCAATTACAGAAAGTTGGTTTAATATTACAGATGGATATGTACAATAGGCGGCCTTATTGCTAATAGCAATCTCTTACAGGCAACCTTTGGCTGGACAAATCGACTGTAGATAAGAAGAAACAGCGGGTAGTCTAGGTGTATTGAAGCAATTGTACATATTACTAGCTGACCCGCGCAACTTCGTCTGCGTCTCTCAATAGTAATACATTTTCTCCGTTTTTGAAACATTCTTCATTGGTGTTCCGCTCCTATTGGTCTTAGCGCGATGATTTATAGCCTATAGCCATCCTCGATAAATGGGCTATCTAACACTGAAAGAATTTTTCAAATCGGACCAGTAGTTCCTGAGATTAGCGCGTTCAAACAAACAAACAAACTCTTGAGCTTTATAATATTATATATACAATATAAGTACAAACAATTTATATTGATAACCATGAAAACATTAGTCATGTACAGTTATTTGAAGCAAAGGGTACCATGAACTATAAACTCAAGTAGTGAACTTTGATCATATTTTTAAATGCCGTTAGTGTTCAGGCACATACCTACCTACCTATACAACGTTCTAACATTAAAAATCGACCTTAGGGTCGCTGTCCGCCAGGCATGATGGTTATAATCGTACACATATACTTCTAACTTTAAAAGCCTTGAAGCTGTTGATAGTGCTATCAGTTCCTGTCTATGATAACATTATTATCAGTTATTGATATAGAGACTAATATAAAATTTTAGCTTAGAAAACTAACAAACGCTTTAATAGAGAACTCAATTAATCAGTAAAGAAAAAATCTAGTGTTCAAGTCCTAGGTACATCAGTTCATTCATTTAGTTCACTCGGAACGAATTATGTGGTCCGAAATTAGACTTTTTTACTAATAGTAATTAATTAGTAATTTGTCCGCGTAGTGACGGATTAAGAATACAAAGTGTCAGCACACCAATTCATCCCGAGGGAGCAAACTACGCAGAACAACAGCACTGCAAAGAGAAGGAAAACTTGAAACAAACCCTATACCAACCCGTCTGGCCAGCGTGGTATAGTAGGCCGAAACGTCCTTTCCAAGGAGAGGCCTATGTCCAGCAGTGGACTATTAAAGGCTGTTGATGATGTTCATGACTGATAGTAATTTAAGGTCAATCCTATTTATCTTCAGGCTCGATTATCAGATCAGCTGCAATGTGCTAAATCATACTGTATATACATATGTATACACATACAAAGTTTCATTGTGTACTACAATTATATGAAGGTTAAAAACTTCTTAAAGTTTACATAGTAAGTCATTTAGTTAGTATTGTAAATGACTGTCAAATGAAATCAGTATCTATTCTTTAAACGTCAAAACTAGACATGAAAATTATTGCTACTCTTAAATCATATTCATATGATGAAATTATTGGTTATAGTCACAGCGATTTCACCTGTGATTGTGATTTGGTCATAGATAAAGAAAATGCAATTAAAATCTATCAAAATTCTTTTTATCAAAGATTACAACCTTTTTTTACATTTAGACCCTTCGCGAGTCAGCGCTAGTTTTTTAGTTAGTCACAGATGTGTCTAAATGATTTATAAATCTTTTTTTTAAATATATATATATATATATATATATCATAGGGGATTGTAAAATCATTTATATGAAGATATCAAATCAATAAACATAAAATTGTTAATGGAGGACAATTTATTTTAAACCTAAGAATCTACCCTATTATATAAGTTGAGCTAATGATAATATAATATACCACACATGGAAAGGAGGTTTTGGTCTACTATACCACGCTGGCCAGACGGGTTGGTAAAGGGTTTGTGTCAAGTGTTTCCTTCACTTTGCAGTGTTGTTGTCCTGCGTAGTTTGCTCCTTTAGTCGGCTCTTACGACACCTACGACATAAATGGAGGTGGTGACACTCCGTATTTTTAATCTTTTGAAATCCTTATATCGTTCTTCTATTGCTTCCATACAATTACAAAACTAATGTCTCTGTATTCTTCTCCAGGGGTACAGCAATGTCGCGCGTTACGACGGTCTTGTCCGCGCGAGCTCTCAACATGTGCTGTTCTGTGCAAGAGTCCCACAGAACAACCGCCGGGCCCTCCACACCACACACATCCACCTAAAGAACCAACTAATACAGGTGAGAATACCGTTACACTAAATATCTGATACCCCGTAGATCTTGGTTGCTGCTGGAGTAGGGGTATGTGACAAGGGGTGGGAAGGATCCTAACTTTTGTGATCAGAACCAAAAAACTAGTATATTACCCAGACTAACATTATTTTGTTACTTGTCTATTGGAATCAGGCGATCATTCTTACAAATCAGTTTATTTAGTAAGTGTAGTTCACTATATTATAAGAACTATATTTATAAGTTTTAACTGTACATTATTTACTTATCTGCAATTATGTTTGATGTCTAATCTAACTTTTAAAATGACGAACTGCCGTACTACCGCTAATCCTTTATTTTACCCCCTTAAGGTGTGAAATTTAAAAAAAAAACCCACTAAGGGTGCTTCCAACATAAAAAGCATCAGCTGCCAAAATTTCAAGTTTCTAGCCCCAATGGTTCAGGCTCTGCGTTGGTGAATCAGTCAGTATTTTTATATGTATAGATGTTTACCACACTCCTGTCACCACTATATGAAATTAGCCTTCAAAAAGAGTCAGGTTTCAACATCAGTTTCTTCTTCCAGGCACAACAGGAGGCAAAAAATCAGGCTCAGGCAGTGGTGTGCTCACTTGCCCCAAATGCGGGGACCCTTGCACTCACGTGGAAACCTTCGTCAGTAGCACTAGATTCGTCAAGTGCGATAAGTGTCATCATTTCTTCGTAGTCCTCAGTGAGGTTGACACGAAGAAGAGCATCAAAGACAACGCTGAAAACAAATCTGGGTTTTACAGGTGAGTCAGCTAGTTTACCTTTTGGTCTAGTGGTTATTGACCCTGAGCCCACGCCAGAGGCCGTGAGTTCGATTTGCAAGATCGTTTGCTGAATCTGGCTGTAATTTGTCTACAACATACATGTATACATACATCCGGGTTCATCACGGATAGTTGGAGCCCTAAAACATCTGACAACAGTCTTCAGGTCTTTGATATCGCCTATTACTCGGGCGTTGGAAGTCTGATGACAGTCGGAAGTCAAAGTTTAGATGTATCGTAGTAGCCTTCATCCGTCCGTGTGGTGACGGATTAAGAATACAAATTGTCACCATCCCTATTCATCCCGTGGGTGTCGTAAGAGCCGACTAAGAGAAAAAACTATGCAGGACAACCGCAACAAAGAGAAGGAAAACTTGACACAAACCCTATACCAACCCGTCTGGCCAGCGTGGTATAGTAGGCCAAAACCTCCTTTCTAAGGAGAGGCTTTCCAGCAGTGGACTAATAAAGGCTGTTGATGTAGTAGCCTTAAAGCCAACCACAACCTAATTTGGGGAAAAGGCTCGGATGAGATGGATATGATTTTGTTCTTCTAACATTGAACAAGACCAAACTGGAACTTGTGGATGTCTGATGGTAGTCGCTGAACGTGAAAAATCGTAGTTCAGCCGCGATGTGGTACACTAAAAGCCGACTCCAACCCAATTTGGTAAAAGGCTTTGAGGATGGATTCACTATCCTTGAAGGCAAAATGTGGCTGTTTCATATTTATATATAATTATATATTAAACGGCCACATTTTGCCAGGTGTAAAATTAGTTCTACTAACATAATAGGAGGCGAGTCTTTGTTGACGGGGTGGAAAATACCTTTGGATCTCCTGCTCCTTACCGACTCAGAATCCAGGAGTATGTGGTGCTTTCACTAAAAACCACCCCGACGGATATTTCTAAATTAGATAAATTACACCACGACACAGAACAAATAATCGTGCTCATCACACAATATTTTTTCCTGGGTGGGAAATGAACTTAAGACCTCTGGTTTAGCAGTTGGGTTCACTAACCACTAGACCCACACACCATTACCTATGTTATTTTCTATAATAATTATTAATTACGTTGTTGTTCAATAATAATACATATAATTTACTATCGTGAGCGCGATAATTCCCGTCAACATAAGCCAACATAGCAATTATTTTTTTATGGTAAAGGGGGAAGGCAGACAAGCAGATGGGTCACTTGTTGAAAAGTGACTACCGCCGCCTATTAACGTCTGTAACTCAGGAGTCACAAACGCGTTGCCGGCCTTTTAGGAAGGAGTACGCTCTTTTCTTGAAGGTTTGAAGGTCGAATCAGTCCGGAAATACCGCAGACGATAACTTGTTTCACAGTAGATATTATTTGCCATAGCACAGGCTCTGCCTAATTGAGATCAGACAGTCTCAACTTACTAGGTATAATTAAAAAAAACTTGAACGCCTTTTAACTTTTTCAAAGAATGCGGCTGTTGATCGTCAAGTCAAATTTGTTTTGTTTATTAAATATCAATATTATACGTCCTTTAAAAACTCGTATGAAAGAACATCTTGTGACGTCATTCTTTGCCATCGTCAAATAGTTTACTTTTAGTGTTTACGTTAAAAAATAATAAATAGTTGTAAACTTTATTGTACTGTAATTACAGAATCTTCTTATACATGAGGACTATTGTTTTAGCGATGCGGTGGTAGCGTAATGAATAAGGACTTCCCACTATAGTCTATTCGCGTTAAGAAAATAGTGACGCATCCATCAAATTTTCTTGTTATTGTTTTTTGTTATACCTTGATTGTTAAAACTTACTTTTAGATCAATAGACTTGTATACTACGATATATCTTTTGATTTTTAAATCTAGAGATTTTAGATATGTATTAGAAATATAATCGGTATCGATATAATATTTATACGTTGTAAGCAACGTTTTAATGACGGTAATAAAAACTTGTCTTGAATATGCATTGAGCTTTCACCATTTTACGTTATGTTTTTAAACTCGGGAGCTGCGATTTTATTCAATTACTTTATATTTAAACTGTATTGCGAGTTTTTACGATAAATTTTTTTACACTTATTATTTTGTACGAGTCTTCAATTCTACACTTTTTTTATAGTATTGTGTAAAATACCACTAGTTCAAGTGGTCATTTAATGTTAATGTTCTTCTGGTGTATTTAACCCTAACCCTTATTTGCCTTCTTTTTTGTCCAATCTGAAAACCATTAGGTATATTCCCGAAGAGGCAAGGGGTCAGGTAGACGAACGGCCATAAAAGAAACTGGCCAAAACACTTTTCTGTGTTACATATTGAGACAAGCAACATTTATATAGAACTATAATCTTATATATAAAATTCTCGTGTCACAATGTTCGTTACCGTACTCCTCCGAAACGGCTTGACCGATTCTCATGACATTTGTGTGCACATCGGGTAGGTCTGAGAATCGGCCAACATCTATTTTTCATACCCCTAAATGGTAAGGGTGACCCATCCCTAATTTTTTTTTCTTTTGCAATACTATTTACTACTATATTTTTAAATACATACATATTATAGTCCGTCCGTGTGGTGACGGACTAAGAATACGGAGTGTCACCACGTCTATTCATCCCGTGGGTGTCGTAAGAGTCGACTAAGGGAGCGAACTACGTAGGACAACAGCACTGCAAATAGAAGGAAAACTTGATACAAACCCTATACTAACCCGTCTGGTCAGCGTAGTATAGTAGGCCAAAACCTTTCTAAGGAGACGCTATGTCCAGCAGTTAACTATTAAAGCTCTTTATGATGATGATGATGACAAATATAGATAAATTTCACCCAGAAACAGAACAAATGATCATGCTCATCACTGCATTATTTTTCCTTTGATGGAATCCGACCCAGGACATCTGGTTTAGCAGTCAGGGTCACTAACCATTGTACTAACAGTAACTAACTAACCAAAATGTCATCCCTATTACAATGCTTTATACAGCAAACTTTTACCAAACAATCTATGCTAGTTAAAGTCTAGAAAGCGTTGTGTAACAAGCCAAAGAATAAAAAAAAAGTTACTATGAAACTAAATCACAATCGACCGTGTCTTCATTTTGTATTTCGCCGCGTTAAACAGCTGTCAATGGCCAAGAAAGAGAAAAAGAAAATTGATTACCGAGTTTTTTATTCGTTGCCGTTTAAGCGAGGTGACGGGTCCATTAGCCATGTTCGAATTGACACCGTCATGACTGATTCGCCATGTTGCTGAGGCAGTCGTGATTGTTCACTAAGTAAGCGATGTTTTGAGACAACCTCGTAGAATACAAAGTAATGCGTGTCGAAATTGTGTCACTTATGAATACAACATGGAAAATATTCTGACCGATTTATATACCTACTATGTGTTATGTTATATCGTATGTGTTTATGCACTTTTGAGGAATGTTACACTGACTGAAAGAGATTTATTGTATTGCCTCTTTAGATTTCTGTTTTTTAACAGTAATATTTTGTATAAAAAGATGACCGGCTGACAAGGTTTTTTTTACTTGAGACTAATTACAGACTAAAACACTTGAAATGAATTAAAACTTGAAATTGTCTTTTTTGTGACTCTGTTTTGTTTTAACCTCACCGTGAGAAATTACCGAAACTGCCTTTTTACTTAAACTTAGCATTTCAAACAAATGTAAAGTCTCATATCTGCCATCATATCAACATCACATCAACAGACTGTAATAGTCCACTGCTGGACATAGGTCTCTCCTTAGAAAGGAATATATCGGCCATATGAATTCGAATATATAATTTAATTAAGAAATCAAATCAACGTCTATTTTTATTGAATTCAATAAGTATGTGATTACAGAACTTTAAACAGTTGTATTGTAGCAGGAATAATGATTTGGTTTCATTGTTTTGTATGCCTCTTGGCCAAACATGGCGATCTTTTAAATATGGCTTGTAACCATTGATATCTTGTAACATCTGAATTCACCTGTGTTTTATGAAATAAATGATTGATTCGACGACCGGATGGCGTAGTGGTTTGTGTAACGGACTGCTATTCCAAAGGTCGAGGTTTGATTCCCTCTCAAGTCAAACATTTTTGTGAATGAACATTTAATGTTTGATTTGGTCTGGGTGTTTCTATCCTAATATGTACCTATGTATTCACAAAAAAAGTATAAATGTATTTATATCAGTTGTCTAGTACCCATAGTACAAGCTCTGCTTAGTTTGGGACTAGATGGCGTTGTGTGAATGTGGTAGAATATTTATTTTTATTTATTTATTGAATACGTCACCAACCGACAGTTTAGTGCTCCCTTGGGTAGAAGTAGCATGTACTTAATATTTTTAAAAGAAAATGTGGATTATTTAATTAATATTATCCACCACTGACACCTGTCAACTTCTTTATCGGTTAATGACCCACGTTCTTTAGTTACTATTTAAACCGTTATTATTAAATTGTAAATATGTACTTCAAAGTTTAAAACGTCACAATAAATTATTTAATAACGTCGTAACAATGTTTATATTAAAAAAATACAGGCATATATCTAACTAAACAAATCACATACATAAATATTAACATAGCAAACATATTCAATGGTTTAAATCGTTGTTATCTTTATTTAAATGTTGACAATGATTCATAGAGTCCAATATTGCTTAACTTCAATTTTGTTACCAGAATAATGAATGCCTCGTCGGCAAAACCACACTATCCGTGACTGTGCATACTTACACTTGAATATATGTATAAATACAACATCTACTTATTTATTGCTCCGTTAGGTAATAATGTAATCATGAATTAGGTATTTGTAGTCAAATAGCGAGTGTCCCTAAAACTTTAGAAGATCGTATTAAAATTTTACCGCGTTAGGGTGCTTCTACACCATGCAAGCAGCAGGTTATTTGATTTGCGAAAAGGAATATGCAGGTCCATCGACTCGAGGATGCATATTATATCAACCAAACGTGCAA